ACAGTTGTTTTAATTTGATTAGTATTGAGTTTGAGCATCTTTTCATATGTTCATACGTTAATTGGCCTTGGTATTTGCTCTTCTGTGAATTGCCTGTTCAAATATTTTGCCTACTTTTCTTTTTCTTGATTTGAATTTTTTTTTTTTTTACAAATCCTAAAAATGAATTATTTATCAGTTAGACATGTGATATCTATGTTCTTCTAGTCTGTGGCCTACCTACCTGCTTTCTGAAAAGACTATTTTTGAAATAATTTGTCTCAATTTGTAAAAATAATACAGAAAGTTTCTATCTACTCTTCATCCAGTTTTCCCCAATGATAACATCTTATATAACCATAATACATTTCAAAACTAGAAAATTGACACTGGTAGGATAATACTTAGTAAACTACAGACTTTATTCAGATTCAAATTTCATTAGTTTTTACATGTACTTTTTAAAATTGTTGCTGTATAGTATTACAAAATTTTATGAGATAAATAAATTCATGTATCTACCACCACAATAAAGGTACAAAACCGTTCCATCACCGTGAAGACACTTTTCTGTGTTCCCCTCCCTCTTGATCTTAACCCCTGGCAACCACTGACCTGTTCCCCATTACTGCAATTTTTTTCACTTCAAGAGCGTTGTAAAATTTACCCATTATTACAAAATGGTCTTTTGTAATAATTTAAAAATTGTTTTAATGTGATTGGATTAGTGAATCGTTTTTGCTATGTGTTTATGTGTCTGATTTAAGAAATCCTCTTGGTGAAGATCATAAAGGCATTTAGATTTTCTTCTATAGATTAAAAATATTTTGCTTTTTATACTTAAATCTTTAACCCCTTTGGAATTGATTTTTTGAGTGTTGGGAGACAGGAATCTATTTTTATGTATTTATAAAGGCATAGCCATCAGACTTGGGGCCAATTCATTCAATAGTTCTTTATTTTCCCCAATTTGCAGTGCCACCTCTTTTATATTTTATATGTTCATATATTCATTGGCCTTGGTATTTCCTATTCTGTGAATTGCCTGTTCTTTTTCTTGTTGATTTGAAATTTTTTTTTTACCAATCCTGGAAATGAAATATTTGTCAGTTAGATGTGTGGTATATGTATAGATTAATTTCTGACCTCTCTGTTGTGTTTCATTGGTATATTTGCTTATCCTTGCACCCATATCACACTGTTTTAATTTACTGTTAGCTTTATAATAAATCTTGATGTCTGGTAGGTTAAGTTCTGCCATCTTATTTTTCACAGTGTTTGTTAGTTTTAGCCCCTCGATGTTCCATAAACATATTACAATCGCCTTGACAGATTTCGTAAAATATTCTGTCAGGATTTGACAGAATCCTGAATATTTTTAGCTAGCAGGCCACACAAAAACAGGTTGCAGGCTGAATTTGGCCTGTCAGGTGAGTTTGCCAACTCCTGCAATAGAAAATGTAATGCGTAAAGTAAAACGAATAACAGGTATTAGAAAGGATGTCTGGATGGGAGATAGCTTGTGATGTAAACATATTATGAATGACCAATGGGCAAAGCAGAATGGCCTAGGCAGGCCTACCTATGACTCCTCTGAAAATGTTCTTTTTTCAGCAGGATCAAAGCCAGAAACTCAACCTTGTCCCTCCTGCCCTCTGATATTCTCCAGTCAGCAAGCCCTCAGCCAACATGTGTGGCTGAGTCATCTCCCTCAGCTGTTCTCAAATTTATGTGCAAGAAATCCTCTCTGTCCAGGAAAAAACTATCCAGAAGATCAGAAACAACAGCAAGATCAATTTCTTGATCAATCATGCTTGAGTGACAAAGCAGAAATTCAGGAGAGAGAAGACGACTCCAAACCCCTGTTTGGGAAAGTAAGCAAAACTGGCACTTCAAAGGCATTCTCCAGCCCCCCTGAAGAACAGCTGGTAAAGTCCAAGGAAGACAACACAGTGGTGGATATAGGGCCCAAGCCAGAACAGAAGGCAGACCTTGAGGAAACAGACAATGTATTGCATGGTTTAGAAGTCTCGGGATTTGGAGCAATCAAATATGAAGAGTTTGGGCGAGGCTTTATCAAGGACTCAAACTTACTTGGCTTCCAGAAGACACACACAGGGGAGACACCTTACATGTACACTGAGTCGGGACAGAGCTTCAGCAGTATGTCAATCCTCATCAAAAACCCAAGGACAAAAAAAAAAAATCAAAAAAAAAACCCAAGGACACACTCTGGAGAAAAGCCTTATGTGTGCAGGGAATGTGGGCGAGGCTTTACGTGGAAGTCAAACCTCATCGCACACCGGAGGACACACACTTGGGGAGAAGCCTTATGTTTGCAGGGAATGTGGACGTGGCTTCTGCCAGCGTTCATACCTCATGGGACATAAGAGGACACATTCAGGAGAGAAGCCCTATGTTTGTAGGGAGTGTGAGCAAGCCTTTAGGCAGAAGTCACACCTCATCAGGCACTTAAGGACACACACAGGAGAGAAGCCTTATGTATGCACAGAATGTGGGCGTCACTTTGGCGGGAGATCAAACCTCAAGTCACACCAGAGGACACACTCAGGGGTTAAACCTTATGTGTGCCTGGAGTGTGGGCATTGCTTTAGCGTGAAGTCAAACCTCAACAACCACCAGAGGTTACACACAGGGGAGAAGCCATTTGTATGCACAGAGTGTGGGCGAGGCTTTACCCAGAAATCAGCCCTCATCTCACACTAGAAGATACATTCAGAGGAAAAGCCTTTTGTGTGCAGGGAGTGTGGGCAAGGCTTTAAAGAGAAATCAACCCTCATCTCACACCAGATGATACATTCAGGGGAAAAGCCTTTCGTGTGCAGGGAGTGTGGTAGAAGGTTTAGGCAGAAGACAAACCTATTTAGGCACAAAAGGGCACACTCAGGTGCCTTTGAGTGCAGGGAGTGTGGGCAAACAAAGCTTTCGTAATAAGTTAACTCTCATTAAACACCAGAGGGCGCACCTGGGGGGAAATCTCACATGTGCAGGGAGTGTGGGCAAGGCTTTAGCCGGCAGTCACACCTCATTAGACACCAGAGGACACATTCAGGAGAGAAGCCTTATATTTGCAGAAAGTGGGGGCAGTGCTTTAGTTGGAAGTCAAACCTCATCAGACATCAGAGGACACACTCAGGATAGAGACTTTATATGTGCAAGGAGTATAGTAAATCCTTTAGCCAGGAGTCACATTTCCACAGACACCAGAGGACACACACACAAGGCTGTGGCTTTAAGGCAGCCATTGCTAGATACCAAAGTGGAGATAGCTTATGTGTGATGGTGTGCATGAGCCTGTATTGGTAAGAGTCGTATCTCCAGTCCACCTGAAAGAGAATTGCTGGCCCAGGAGCTCTGCTCTTCCCCAGTGGGGATGATGGGTTGTGGAAGGTCTGTCAGGTAACTTGATGGGGGGAGTTACATATAAGTAGGTTAAAATCAGGGAATGAAGACTATTCCAGTGTCATTTTCCAAGTATACTTGAACAGTCCTTTCACAGTACCCTGGATGTTACAGAAATAACAATACTAGAGCTTGTCTTTTGATGTCTCTTTGACCTTCTAACTTAGCAGAACAAGAGAGACATGGCAGACTCTGTGGCTGATTTAATCTTGCTTCCCCAGACCATGACCCTGCAGAATCAGCCTCAGGGAGAGTTTCAGGGAAGGGTGAATTAATGGGGACAGGCTGCCAGGCTAGAAAGATGGTAAATATCCCAGCTCTAGGATTTGGGAAGAGGTATCCATTTTTTAAAATACTCTATGTTTTCTTGCTTCCTGGGGTTTTCTCTGGTTTCCAGGTTGAATCTATACTGAAGATATTTTTATTGATTCATGCATTTTAGACTAGAAGTATACTATGTGCTTTTGTGAAGAAAACGTACAATATGCAGAAATAGAAAATGAAATGATTTTCTTTTCTCCTTTGAATTAGCATACAACATCCCACAGGTAATTCTTGAGTTTAAATCTTTCCAACCATTATAAAACACATCATTTTTTTCTGATTGGGAATACTCTCTTTTTGAAAATGGCAGTGTCCTACAAATTAACTTAAAATTCTGGATCAGGTCCCAATTTTTTTCCTGGAACTTGACTAAGTGATTCTGAATTTTATATGGAAAATGAAGTTTCAAGATAGAAACTATAATAACATAAGTGTTTGTCCAAATATGGGTATTTAGAATAGATCTTTAGAACAATGTAAAACAAAACAGAAAAACCCATCTATTTATGAGCATTCAGAATGTGATGAAAGGATTTCAAATTGGAGTGAAAATGGTAATTATGAGATTCAGTGTTTGGGTCATTGGCTATCAGTTTAGGGAAAAAAATGTAGATCTCAAGGTCTCAATATATAAAGGAGTTAGAGTTAGGGAATCACAACTAAAATGCTATGAGATGTAATAGTCTTAATTTATATTTGTTCAATATCTAAGTCTGAGCAGAGTAAGAAGATCTAGTAAAAAAATATATATGAAGTATTATCTTAGGTTAAACAGCATGGCCTCCCCTCCCTGTCCCTCCCCCATGGCAGTTCATGGGCTGGCTTTTTTTACTCCTTCTCATTAGAAAAATACTTTTGAGTTTTAATCCCTTTGGAATCTTAGAATTTAATTATTCTTTTGTAATATAAAGATTCCAAAATTAAACATACACCTTTTACTGTTTTTTAACTTTTAGAAAGAATATCACAGTTTTCAATTTAACTCATGAAAAAAACTAAAAGATTTTGCCTTAAATTGTTAACAACCTTTAACAAGAAAAAATAGAGCAGCTATGCTACATGAGAACTCAAGTAGATTTAAAAAGATACCAAACCTTGAGAGACAGTTTCTATGGAGCAAAAACCAAACAGAGAGAAGTGGAAATGTTCTGAGAAAGGGGTACAAAGGAGTCCCATCTTTTGGCCCAGCCCT